ATAAAAACTTCTTTAAGATAAGGGGAGTTGTCCAAAATTGTAGGTAATGGCACTTATTGTAAAGTCTTATTTTAGGAACCCCCCCCTCTCAAAGTAGGGATGAATTGCGTATTGCCACTTGCTAAATTGGATGGTCGGTCAGCGAGGGCACACTGGAAGTGGTCATGTAGTAGGTGAGGGGACCACTTTGCTACATGATCCTCGAAGGTAGTGTCATGCGTCCTACGGCAAAGATTAAAAACCTTATAAATCTGACATTATTCATTTTGTCAATTCCTTGAGAGGGTTCAAATCAAGACTGGAGTGCCATGATTAGGTTTGTCCCTGTGGATTTTATCAGACGGTAGATATTCCAGTGTCTAATCTTAGCGAAAGCCAAGCTGTATGGTTGAGAACGGGGGCTATATTCTACCTGAGATATTATTCACTTTTTTTATTTTCTTTATTATTTTTATCCCTATTATTATTATTATTATTATTTACAATATTAATGTAAAATAAGTAAGTAAAACATTTGAGTTAAATTTGGCCCTGTGTATTTTATCAGACGGTAGATATACCAAAGTCGAGGACAAGGTGCTATATTCTATCTGAGATATTATTCACAATGTTTTTTTCATTTTTTATATTTTTATTTTCCTCATTATTATTTTTATCCTCATTAGAAAATCATTTTCATTGCAATTATTATTAAAACTTAAATTGAATATGAAGTTTTTTTATTGTTGAACTCAACAGTTTATTAAAGAATAGGTTAAAACTAAAAATATTCTTCTTGATAAAATTTCTAGATAAATATATTATTAATAGTTTTGGTTGAATAATGACAGGCAGGAATTCATTTGTAAAAGGTATTTTTATTTTCCTCATTATTATTTTTATACCCATTAGAATTATTTTTATTGCAAGATAGACAGACAATAATTATAAATATCTTGAGTTAAGTTTGCCCCTGTAGATTTTATCAGACTGTACATATACCAAAGCTATATTCTACCTACTTTACCCTTATTATTATTCGAAAATATTCATGATAGTGTAACAGAAAAGAAAATTAATAAGAAATCTAAATCCAATTGCTAGATAAATAAAAAAGGAGTGCTTTATTCATTATATTATACTAGAAAGAAAATTTGACATGCTCAGCTGGTAACATTAAAATGCCATTTATTAAAAGCTTTAATTCTAGTAAAAATCAATTTTAAAGGATGAAGTAGTTATGCTGAAAAAATTACAAACTACATTTCACTGCTGTAGCATAACTCCTGAGTCAGCCTATGAATTTCCATCTGATCAAAATTTGGGAACAAATTGTATTGTAGCTGCAACGCAATTCAAAATGAGAGAAACAATTTTGTGATACATTTTACTCCAGGATAAATCCTGAAATGTTTCTATATTCTAAGGTGTATTTAATTCAGAAATTTAAGTACTACAAATATTTTATTTTTCCAGCATTAACCATTAACCCTTTAACAATATTTCACTCCACCCTTCTCACTATCATTTATCGATACTTAAATTTCTGATACATATACACCTATAGAGTTGTAAAAATATTATCTTCAGACTTCTATTTCTGTACTTTGAATATATTGCTTCATTGCTATGGAACATTTGGAAATTGGAATTTGATGAAAATTTCTAAATTTTTGAGAGAATAAAAGCAGCTTTAGATAAATTTAGAATTGATTTTATTGATGGACCAATCAGATGACTGGAACAGGCCTCTCATGGTTACGTTTTAAATTTCATTCTGTTTTCTAATTTGATGTCTTACTATAATTACAGGTTGAAGACAGAATTTTCAAAAACTACAATACAGATGGTCTACACTCAATTAAATCAGCCTCCATTGAAAAACAAAATGGTGGAAATGATGAGAAATAACAACCAGTGATGTAAAATCTAGAGATCCAGATGTTTTGATCTGTGAATAATTCTATGTTTTGTCATCGAAGAAATAAAATACTTTCTATTGGTTTTGTTTATTTCCTGTTGAAGGGAGAGGTTTTGTTAAATTAAACATGGAGAACTTTTTGGACAGTTTTCCTCTGTTAGTGATGCAGATCAGAGAGGCTGACATGAAAAAAGGATACAGTTGTTCGGATGGAGTCATTTAATATATATAAAAGCACTTAATTCTGCCAGCTACCAGTGGGTGTATGTTACCTTGAATGCCAAGCTATCTTTCAGTTATAAAGTAAACATTTGAATTTAACATTGTGTTTTGCTAAAAAAAATTCACGTTTCTGAGACTAAGATATGATTGGTCATAAAACTGGCGCATCTGTCCCTTTAATAATACCAAGCAACTTAAGATTGGGCTTAGTATTTTTTGTAATGAGGATTGATATTATTAACAAACATAGTCCACTAGAAAATAAATATTTATTCTTTTTCAAGATATAATTTGGTCGACCAGTAACATATTTGTGTTGACAGTCGCAGTAAATATGGTATAAATCCCATCAAACCCTGAAATTGAAAATCTTGAGAGGAAATACTGTAAAAACCTAGATTATGTCTTTCATCGTGTACATCCATAAAATAAAACTCTTCACAACAACTCACTGTTAACTGTGTGTGTAAATTGTCAACTTTAGTTTTTAAATATGGATCTCTTAATCGTGTTATACTATCACAATAAACACACACTTTATTATAAATTTCATCTCCGATTACTTTTAAATCACAGATTTCTGACCAAAACATCAAAAACTCCTGAATTGTAGGTGAAATCCATTCTTTAGACAGTTTTCTTTTTGGTATCCTTTCAGCAAGGTGTATGATAGTCAATAAATTTCCCATGGAAGTTATTTTAGGCATTTTAATGGGACTATATACTTGTATGATTTTAATGGAATCCATGAACGTTTGTTTTCTCCTCTCAAACCAGTCTGTGTAACGAACACGCATGTTGTTTAACCGTCCTAGATGTTGACTAACTTCTTTCTTCAAATTGTCTAATTCTAGAAATTTCTTGTCAAATTCTGTAGGTTCTGGTGGAAAGCGTCTACTTCTCATTTTAAACTGGAAAAAAAAATTAGTTCTATAATGAAACATACAGAAATCATACTATTTAAAAATCAATCAATTCAAAAACAGAGTGAGCTGCACCATCAGTTCTCAAAAATCTCATGAAAAGATATTGCAATGTGACAACTGATAAGTAAATACAAAGCCTGAACACAAATTCTAAAAATGCTGTGAGATCTCAACTTAAGACAGTTTGTGCTTATGTATGCTTTAATTATGTACTTTTTTGTACATATAAATTACTTAAATAATTTTATTACAATCTAAAGTTATTCAAATGGGGTGCGACTTTGTGCCTATGTGCTATCAACCTCGACAGTTATTACCCCATTAAATCAGTATTTGAACTGCCAGTCCCAGGAGGGTGGAGCTACTACTACGTGTTTTATGTATTTCAATTGACTGTAAAAGATAGGTGAAAGCAAAGGATGTCCATATAAATGGGAATCTATAGAAGGAAATATCTATTATATCTTTGATTTATGTGTTTAATCTGACAAATGAAAAAATTATTTGGTTGTTGAAATCAAGATAAAGGTTGGATTAAAGGGTCAGTTGCAGCATTTTGGGGGGGTTAATATTAGTCTTGAATATATGTTAATAGTCTTCAGAAGTACTAGACATGTAAGAACATTGCATAATTCCTTCAAAAATATCTCAAACTAGGAATTTTACTCACTATTTCTGTATATGTCTTTTCTATATATCACAGAGTATCTTAAAATGGCAAGTTGTCATTTTAACATTCAAATGCAGATAATTCTGGATACACATGGATTTGAGACTCAAATTTCGACGGTGAGCTTTGAACACTATAACTGATTGACTTAGCTAAAAAAATTATATTTCTGAGACTAAAGTATGATTGGTCCAAAAGGTGGCGTATCTGTCCCTTTAAGAAACAATCAATTATGTTATATCAGTAATATATATCAATCTAGTGTCTTTGTACCCAAGTCTGTATTTTGAAGTGAATTTCAAATATAAACTTCTAAACAGTATTGATAGTCTTATAAAGGGATTCGAAACAAGCTTTGAGTACATGCATTCTGGACTCTTACCCTTCTGTTGTGCTAAAGTGATTTACATACTTAAATGTTCCGATTCCTGGTATTAATGACAAAATTTGACCAGAGACAATGTACAGAAACTGTTTCTGCTTGATATTTTCTGGGGTAAGAGGAACGGACACTGTAGTACATTAAATCAGAAAGGTTAAATAGAAGCTATAAGTGTTTCTGGTACACATACAAAGACTAGAAAAATCTCTTGAAATCTCTCAATTTTCATATCCTATAGATACTGAAAAATTCAAAAAGAAAAATTTTTTGATAAATATTATTATGCTTACCTCAAAGTTTAGTATCCAAACAGATTCGAGTTAAGTCCACTTCAAAGACTAACTTAATCACTGGTCTTGCTAATTAAATCAACTAATCAAATAATTAATCAACAACTTGTCAAAACTTCTGAATAAACTTTAAACAAAGTTGAACCCATTCACAATGTTGTGTGGAAATCTTGAAACGTTGCTATGGTAACATGTCCAAATAAACATAGCACAAATTTTTAATCAAGTTTTAAATCACAGATATTTCCATTCCATTGCGAACTGTCAAAACAATTGTTCAGTGATTCCCGAAGGATTTTCACCTTCTTCTTGCAGATCGTAGAGTAGTATTGTAAGTCTTAACAATAGAAATGACAATTGAATATAGTTAAGGTACATTTATCAGAAAATTGTAGATTGTATTTAATTCACAGTGTGGGGTTTACTTTTCAATCATTACCTTTCAATTGGTTGATCTCTTACTTAAAGGGACAAACACTGTGATACAATTTTTTATCCAATCGATGCAAAGGTAACATTTGTGCATCTGAAGACTGACGAGCTTTTGCATTCATAGATTTAAAAAAGGGTGTTGTAATTAGCTTTAGAGCAACTTTTGGCATGTTTTAAATAGGAAAGTTGCCTCTCAGTTACAGTACTATCTGTCCTGATAAAGATTTGGTATCTGAAACGTGTTCGGCAGCGTGAGATGAGCTCTAGTCAATAAGATGAAAGTGAACATTGTTTTTTTCTTTTAGAAATTCAAATAGAAAATTAAATGTCATTTCATGTCATAAGACATTTCAACATTTTTAGGAGTTATTGCCCATGACATGGCCAAAATTTTGAATGGCACTGCAAACCACAAATGTAAGGCAGTGTGCAATGAAGTCTACTTGGTATACTTTCAACTGTCAAGATCTTTAACATGCACAGACTGTAGCACATGGTTTATCATAGAAGATCCCTTTAATGTCTACCTAGCAACCTTGACTATACCCTTGTTACACTGACTTTCAATAGTAGTTCAATAGATATATTAAATAACAAACATTTCTACATTGTTAATATTCACCTTGCATACCACTAACAATTATATTAGCTTTTGTTGACTCTAATCATTTTCAATTGAAGTTAATCAAAAAACTTGTCAGTCAAATAATAGGCTTTATTATATACAGTCAATATATCATATAATACTCTATAGGGTCAAACTTCTTTATTCATATAGAAAAGGTCATGGGTTAATTTTGTCTGAAGTTGAAAACTCTGAGGGCAGATTTCTTGGCTTTCAGTTTCAATTAAAGGTTTTTCAATAGGTCATAATGCCCTTCTTGATTTTAGAGGAAAATGGCATAACTGCGTAAGGGAAGAAATGATAGCATTTTAAAGAATAGTGTGATGTGCAACAATACTTATATCCCACTTAATAAATATTTTAGATGGCTTATTACCAATAGATTGATGTCATATTCACATGCTCTATTAAGGTCAAATTATCACAAGCCTTAAAGGGATTGTTAAGAGGTATTCTAAATATTTTATGTGTATCCAGGACACTGATAGCACCATTCCAATTTTCAGTCACACATCTGTGGTTCCGGCAATTCCATTAAAAGTAAATGTTTGATGACGACACTAATCGCCAAGTGACTTATGTGATACAAAAATAATAGTTTTTGTGGAATTACAGAAGAGAGAGTATTCGCCTGTATTCAAGTTTTGGGCGGTCACATACGCTACTAATGTGAATGATATTAGACTTGTAGCAGTTTCCATTTGCATTGTAAAGTTTACAGCCCACACTTAGAATGTTTTCAAACCTTGCTTAAGTTTCTTTTGACCTTCAGATTATTATCAAGTAGCTTGCCAAGAACAGATATGAACGCACAACCATCAATACAAATCAAGTGGGTATCATTTTGAAAACATCAGAAGGCAAAATATAAATGCATTAAACTTTTTAATAGCAGTAAAACAATTGGTTTATACTTCTCCATTTAAATATACAAGACCCAAACAGGCTGGCAGAAAGTTCTATAAATGAAAGGAATGCCAAAGAAATTTTTATACATTTCCACAGCAACCCATTTGTTAAACCAAATATTTGAATATCCCTTACAATGGCACCAAATTGACTACATAGTTTTCATTTTTTGGAAAATACCAAAAGCCCTACTGGCTTAAGAAATAAGAAAATTAGACTTGACATTCCCTTCAAGTAAGATTTCAATAATTACATACTATATACAGCAAAACACTTTTTACAAGTATCTGTTTCAGATATATTTTGCTACAAAAATTTTCCTTACTTCACTAATCTGTCCTAGCATGCTATGATGTCATGTTCACAATGAATGTTTAGCTATTACATATTGTGTCTTATACCTTGACTGCAATAGCCACCTTTCTTGCATCATGGAAATTTGTAAATGCTGTGATTTGTTTGGATTGTACGTATTAGAATACAGCCAATCAAAGTCCTCAACAGAAATTCTGTAAACAATATGCTATAATGTAATCAGTCCTTCTGTCAAGAGACCTGATTGGCCCTATTCACTGGCGTACAATCCAATCAAATGCCTGCTTTCTGTGATAAAAGAATGGTTGCTATTGTTTTCAAGGTAGCTGTAATGTATGTATAGGTGTATGTAAAGATATAAAGTGTCTATTGTCTTCAAACTTTATAAATCAAATTTCACTAATGATCTGTTTTAATGAATTGAAATATGTTTTGAAGGGATTGTAAAGAGGTTTTAAGTGTATCAGGAACACTGATAGAACGGATTTTCATCATTCCAATTTCCAATCACACGTCTGTGGTTCTTGCAATTCTACTAAAACTTTTTATGATGCCACTATGGATCAAGTTGCAAGAACCTTGGAATTAGTGATGTCATAAAACGCCTAATTTTAGTGGAATTGCAAGAACTACAGACGTCTGATTGAAAATTGAAATGGTGCAAATTGATTCTATCTATCAGAGTCAATGACACACATACAGTTTTAAAAAAAACCACTGAAAATAACTTTGTTTTGAAAGAAATATAAAGCTTTGTATGTTTTCATTAATACACACTTCCCTCTAAAATATTCCTGAAGACGACCAAAATTTTGGCTGAAAAATTGCCTAAAAACAAATTTTAAGATAATATTATATATGTTTCAATGCATATATTTTCATCAATGTTTAGTCATTCTTAGACTATCAGTACTGTTGAACCATGTGTTTTAATTTACATTAGTAAAATTTGATAAATGAAGTAAAAAACAGTGATTAAAATAAACAAATGATCTAATTTACTTACTAAATTTTGGTGTCGATTGATTTTTCAGTGAAATACTGCAGTGAAAATTTGAAAATGGGGTTTTCCCTCTTGAGAGACTTAATAATTGTTTCATATGCAGTGAAGAATGTTTACTCCATAATTTGTCAGACAATCACATTTCTTTGATCGACACATGTGCAGGTATTCATAATAGTATTATTCAGATTTCTTCCTAAATATGAGAAAATCAACACAAATTTACTATTTTTAACAAGACATTTTCAAACTCTAATATGAAAGAAAGAAAAAAAACAACTATATTTTACAAGGATAACAACTTAGGTTCACAGGAAAGAATCCTCTCTACCAGCTGGTTCTTGACCAAATCTCTTGGCATTGATCTTTCTCGGATTATCCATACCCATTTACAGCTGGGTCGACTAGAATTATGAATGTAGATAACTTATTCAACGTCATCAGACTATCACACGTTGCTCGAGATCAGAACCCACAGCTGCCATAAACCTTGACGTAACCAAGCAAATGATGTCATATAGAGAACCAATACTTTAACCAACTGTGTTATAGAACCTGACAAATAAGGCCAACGGCAGTGCAATTTCAGGACCTTAGTTCAACCTAGACAAATTTAGTTGTTATCTTCTCTGCTTATTAGCTAATGAAAGTTAAACTATGTATATTGAATAATCAATATTTAATATCAATAATCACATGACTTACATATTGTTTATTTTGTACATCTATGGCACTTATAATTTAATATCATTTTTGAGAAACATCTGAACTAAACTAATCAGAAGTCAAGTAGGAGTTACTGTGAAATCATTTACTTCAGGACTAAAGTCTCAGTTGCTTAAGTCTTGCAAAGACATCCTATATCTGAAGAAAGCAATAAGTGTTAGTTGCATGAACCATTATGCAAATGGTAAATTTTCTTGTAATATACTACATAAACTTATTAGCTATGTGGACTCTCCAAATCAATCTAGATGAACATCCAACTGCCAAGTTGCAGAGTGGTAAAGTCTTACTATCAACAAACACCACAGTTCTCATGTTAGCTGTGCTCAAATTGAAAGCCTTGCGAAGCAAGATGATATACGCCCACCAGCAGCTTTGATTACAAGTATAAATCATTGTTTGTTATCCATTCACATTTAGTTCGTGTTTTGTCTAAATAATTTTAAGCAAACATTATTGCATGGCATCATGACTGGTTTTTATCGACAGACGTACAGACTACAATATGCTTCTATACTATGTATGGGCATGCAGAATGAAATTGTTGCCTGTAGAGTGTGCACAAGTTGTACTATATAGCTAATAGAGTGAATTTTCTAAGTTCACTTGCAAGAATCTTTATAGTGACAATGATCTACAAATTGAAAATCAATAGAGCCTGTAGAGTGAGCATGAGCCAAATGTGAACTGATGACAATATGCTTCAAAAAACTTCTGGGCATATGAAAGTCAAAAGATTCTATATCTAATTGTTGTCTGTAGCTTATATCGTTGGACATGATATTTTGGTGAAAAATTATCAGATCATCCTGAAAATCGTAAAGGATCATCCTCATAATGACATTGACCCACAAAATAAAACTCAAAAGAATCTGTAAAGAATTGTCGCCCAAGCCAATTGTGAATGGACAGGGTCAAAGGGTGATTACAATCTACGCCCATTGTCCAAACTATGTGTGGGCAGAAAAAAATATTGATCATTCAGTATGGGGATTAAAATATCTTTGTTATTTTTTTATAATGAATTTTGTAATTGTAGACTTGAATACAGCATATTTTTTTGGCAGCTCATCTTCATAATGGTCAAGGTATTACATAACTTTGTCTTTGTTACATACCTTGACTACAATAACCACCTTTCATTTATCACAGATTGATTGGACTGCACGTCTGCAAATACAGCCAATCAGAGCCCTTGACAGCAAAACTGTAAACATTACAGCTTCTTGTTTACAGAGTTTCTGTAGGCAGCTCTAATTGGCTTATTCAGTAGCGTATGATCTTATCAAATACTGCAATCTTCCAAGATACAAGAACAGTAGCTATTGTAGTGTAATGTAGATAATCATGATTTTAACAATGATTGTTTTCTATCCTATTTTAGCATATAATCATGTTTATGATTCTTAGTTTAATCAGACTATAACGAAATAAATCAGAAATATTTCTGTAGAAATATTGGTTCCATTCACACATGATTTATATATGTTGAAATAGGACTGGATCTCACTCCAATAGATAAATTTCTGTAGTCTACATCATCCAGTAAAGTCAACAATCAGAGGCACACAAGACCACTCTTTTTTGGCCTGGAAATTTGCAGCATACCATTGTAATCATTGGAAATATCAAAGAAAGTACAAATTCAGTGGTGAATTTAAAGTAAATTTCCAGGCCATTTTGAAAGATAATGAAAATAGTTCTCTATAAGTCTGTATGTATATATATATTAATTTATTAAATATTCCGTGGCACGTTCTATATCCCATCCTTTAGAAGATAATGCAGCTCGAGCTTGATTCTAAAAAAAGAATAAATAAATCTCAAAAAGTAAAATATTTTCATTCAAAATTACATCAGCAGCAGAAAGCATTCAGTCAGAAATGAAATGAAAATGAAATGAATGGAGTCTTACGTCCTACTTTTCTGATTCAGTCAGATACAGAATACACTATACAATCGTGCGAAAAGCAGACCATGCTTACTCTTTTCAAAATACCTTATAGTACTTCTTTTAGGAGGAGTCCACTACTATACAACTTTTATTCTCGATTTTGCCATACTTTGGAGGCGATTTTGATTAACAGAATTGTCTTGCTTGTACGGATATTTATTACTATTGCATTTACAATAACAAAATATTTTCTTTATTAAATTGTGCTCAATACATCAATGGTAGAGTGCTATAGAAATATTAAAGCAGTGATCTGGAATAAACTTAATATTGATTGAAATAAGGCCAATCCATAATATTCTGTTACAAATTTCATTTCCTTGAATAAATCTAGAATCTGAAAAGAATTGAGGTCAAGCAGATGCAGTCATATTTCAATAAAACTGAAACAATATTTGACTTACCTCATCAAAGCCCATATTTTTTAAGGATGTAATCTTTGAATCTAATTCTGGACATGATTTGGGACCTGGAACCAAATATATATACAATGCTTATTTTCATCTTCATAGATAGATAGCAAACCTGTCTGTTTAAGAAGCTAAGTTGTAAAAGATAGTTGTCTCTCACTTACCTCCTGCATAAACTGCTGTCCAATGTTTAGCAGTTTTTTCAAATATTGAGTAATTTTCCTTATATTGTTGTGCTACCACAGCATCTTGTGGATCATCTGGTTCTGCAGCTGCTAATAATGCTTGTAATGATAATAAAACTGTCCGTAATGTCATTGCAGCCGCCCTGAAATGTTTTTTGATTGGTTGAAATTGTAAACATCTATAGGTTAAAATAGCTTTGGATCTGAGTTGGAGTGAAGCAACCAATAGAAAACATATCAACAAGAAATGATTTAATTGTGTAGGTAATAAAAATAGCCAGAGCTTTGTAACAGACCATTCATAGTCAAGAAACTTGATAGAGGACTCTGCAGCTTTTAACAAATGCCAATTGATTATGACTCTAATCCAGCAATTATTGTGATACAGGCACATATTGTTCAGATAATACATGTAATCAAATAAAAAAGAGAAATAAATTGAAATGAATAAATTTTTATGTCCAATTTTTCTGCAACTGATTTGGGGAATAAAAAAAGAGTTTTAGCAGAATTGAAGGAACCACAGATGTCTGAATTAAAATTAGAATGATGCAAATTGATGCTGTCAGTGTCCCCAATACACATGAACAATTTTAGAAAAACCTCTTTACAATCTCTTTAACCTTCGATTTTATCATATCACACACTATGTCACCAACTTACCATTGATCTTTTAAAATATCTAGACAAATAGCACCAGTAACTGAACTTATATTGGGATGCCATATTTTAGTTAAAAATTTAACCTACAATAAAAGATTTTAAATGAAAGTTAAAGTACTAAAAATAAAACCTTCAATGTCTCCTTGTAAATAGCTAAATAGTTAAACATATCTGCAATTAACTGTAACAACCGATCAGTTTCATTTACCTAAATTACAGAAATTGATAAATCATACACATTCAGGTATACAAACGTACATCAACAGTCAAAGATCTGATGGTTTTTCAATTAAAAATACTTACTATTGGTGGATTAAAAGGGTATGTTTCTGGTATTCTAATTTCTAAACAGAATGTACCTTCAGCATATGGTGTATCTGGCGGCCCAGCTATTTTACCTATTAATTCATTATACTTATCATCAACTAATTCTAATGTAATGTTACAGGCAGCAACCTTAAATATAAGCAAAATGTCACAACAACTAAGTGCTTGTCTGATGTCTCATGAATATGATGTAATTTCCAACAAGAATCATCTTCTGACTTTTTGGACAATATAATTTTGTCACAAGGCGGCGAGGTTGCACATAGTTATCAAAACTGAAAAGAATACATCAATATAATACAATACCTGCATACATTAGCGTAATTAGGGGACGTCCATTCTAGTCTCCCCTCTGGCCTGAAGTGAAATGAATTAAGCTCTCTAAATGCTCAAAATTCATCTCAGACCATTGGCTTCTGGGGGGAGGGGGAGGGGGAGGGGGGGGGGGGGGCCTCCATTTGGAGAGACACTAGTCAATTTTAGCCCCTCACAAGTCCTCATGCACTTTCTAGATACGCCCCTAACATACAAGATAGTATGAAGATATTTTCCTCATTATATATCGCATGATATTGTCAATGATCATCTTATAATAACTAAATCTAGTGCAAAAAAGGTCCGACGTAAAACTTCATTCATTCAATATTTCTTCATCCCTCCCGTTTAAATCCCTCATTCTATGAACTACTTGTGGGTATAAAACTACCTCGTCACTTTTGACAACTTCTTTAAATTCTCTCTTTATTCTTGCTTGAGCAATGTTGGTCATCTTTTAATAATTTAGGGCAATATTTTATCAATAATCTGAAAAAATGTTAGGATAATGAAGGCATTACTAAAAATAAAAAAAATCACTTCCGGTTGAATGAGTCGGCGTGGAAAAAATTTATACGGATTGACAACATTACATAATTCAGAAATATTTCCTAATCCGTAAAAATAGAAATTCGGTTGGTGCTATGTTCTACATAGTATGAAATCTAACTGGTGTTTAAGCGCAATTTCACAATTTTCAGGCTATTTGTCATGTCATTTTGAGAAATAAATCCGTTAAAATAAAGTCTATTTAATCCTCTAAACATAAGAAATATGAATATTTGTGTTAGTATTGCTTATTGACAAAATCTAGCATGCGCTCTGGTGTTTATCTTTCATTCACATAGCCAAAGACATCGCCGCAAAAACTTCCACACAACATATTTCTCGATTGTCCAGATATATTTTTTCTATGATACAGAATGGCCATTGCGGCTGGATAATCGAATAATTATTCACTCGAAAAGGTGCCAATGCAAGTAAAGAGATCAGAAAAGAACGGAGAAGACAAGAAAATGCCGAATATCAAAGTTTTCAGTGGCACCACTCATCCTGATTTGGCGAGACGAATTTGCGAACGTTTAGGAATAGAGCCAGGAAAAGTCGTTACGAAGAAATTTAGCAATGGTGAATGTTGGTAGGTTTTCTCTTTGTAGAATAAATTTATTTTTGAATCACTTGTGCATGCTGTATTATGGAGAGCAGTGGCAGTCAAAATTTTCTGTGTTTTAATTCTAGTTGATTGTGCAAATCATGGACTCATATAATATAATAATGTTTTGTTTTGTTCTTCTGCTCAATGCTGGAATGATGTAGATGTTAAAGTTTTCAAATCTATCCAAATGTCAATCACGGTACAGTGCACCACCTCAGCACCTGTCAAGTAGGCAGGTAAAGGACGAAGGTTTATTGTCAGGCAACTTTTGGAATGCTATCGGTCAAAGGACATGGTTTGCCATTTTTGGGGAGTTGAAAATGGTTCTTGAGTATATATGTACTGGGTTAATAGTCTTCAGAAGTACCAATTTTTTTTTCTTTAAATGGCAGACTTGTCAAGAAAACAAATGTGTCATTTGAACTTTTAAGCACAATTGAATTTGAAGGCTCCAATTGTAATGGTGAGCTGTGAACACTATTACTGATAATCTTAGTTTATAAAATCCGGATTTTGAGACTCTAATACGAATGGTCCCTTTAAAGGGACAGCTGTGCCATTTTTTTTACCAATCATACTTTAGTCTCAGAATCAGGATTTTTTTTTAGGTAAGTATTTTCAACTCACCATCGAAATTTGAGCCATTAAATCCACATGTCCAGAATTAACTGTGTTTAAAGTTTAACTGTTAAAATGAAGACTCATCATTTTAAGATACTCTGTGATATATAAAAAAGACATATAAAGAAATAGTAAAATTTCTAGTTCGAAGTATTTTTAAAGGAATTGTGCAATTTTCATACATTTCTAGTACTTTTGAAAACAATTACATATATTCAAGACTAAAATCAACCGAATATGGTGCATCTCTCCCTTTAAATTCTAATTTCATCATCTGATTAATTTTCAGTGTTGAAGTGGGGGAATCTGTAAGAGGAGAAGATGTATATATTGTACAGAGTGGATGTCATGAAGTTAATGATATGTTGATGGAGTTGTTAATTATGATTAATGCCTGTAAAATAGCCTCAGCTTGTCGTGTTACTGCAGTCATTCCTTGTTTCCCCTATGCCAGACAAGATAAAAAAGACAAAGTATGATATATAAGTTATTGATGCTGACAATTAACTTGCTCTAATAGCTATTTTTATACTGGATGTATATTTTTGTCACCCAAAACAGTTGGTCCATCCATCCATTTATTCCAGCCACAAAACAGAGTTGTGTCTAATTTGACACTATTATATATAGTATACTTAGATTAATGTTTTTTGATTTATGGCCTTTCATGTTTTACTACATTTTGGATGAATTGGTTTTTAGTCATTGACTTTGACATCTGCAACTGCAAATATATTTGATTTTGATGAAGATTGGGTAGCTGTAAGATATTGATAACTTTAAGGTGTTGGCATAGTCAAAACACATCAAAGTGTATGCAAAAGAGACTATCTACTTGATTTCTACTTGAACCAATAAATAGTTGTTAAATTTACTGATGATGGAAGTGATACTTGACAATGAGTAAATAAATATTGTATATAGAACATATCAACATGTATGTCAATTTCTTTACAAAGATTAGCCATGTACTAACACAACACAAATATTAAGGTCATACTATATTACCATGGTAATTTGATACAACCTTTGACAGAATAACATTATTAAACAAGCACTTCTAGATATATAGGCTATCCCAATATTCAATGAACTCAACTTTAGCCTCATTTCATCCTTATGCTTACCTATCATAGTTAATTCAGGCCATTAGTTTTACCGAAGGTTCCTTCCTGTTTTTATACGCCCATATGAAATGTGGCGGATATATTGGCATCACCAATGTCCTGTCTGGATGCTGTCCACAATTGCTTGCAACACCCTAGAATGCATGAATGAAGGATCTTGACGAAACTTTATAATATAATTAATTCTCATTAAGGAAGGCGAGTCCTATCAAAAAACTACAAAGTTTTGTTTCTGAAAGGAATTGGTAGGAATGCTCCGCCAGTGGGTGTATGTTACTTTGTGTGTAAGTTATCTTTCTTTTAATCTGTATTTTACAGAGTCGAGCACCAATATCAGCTAAGCTAGTGGCTAATATGATAACTGTAGCTGGAGCAGACCATATTATTACCATGGATCTTCATGCTTCACAAATACAGGTAGCCTTATAGAAATATCTCTGACATGTGTTTCATATATGTTTTGTTGATTATAGACTTCAATGGCTTAACATGCATTTAAAAATAATTTGAAAATAAGTTATTGTTGAATGACCAAAAATTCAATCCCAAAGTCTCTGTGGTCGTAGGTAGATGTGGGTCATTCCAGGTCAAAGCAGCCAAAAATACTGAATAATTTTGACCTATGTGTTTATTATATGTAGGGATTTTTCGATATACCTGTTGATAATTTGTATGCCGAACCTGCAGTATTAAAATGGATAAGAGAACATATCACAGATTGGAGAAACTGTTGTATTGTCTCCCCTGATGCAGGTGGCGCCAAAAGGTAAGATGCAGTAAGGTAACGATCTATCTGGTCTTGGGACTTTGTTGTGCGAAGAAGGGAAAAGCCTACCCCTAGACTGTATCATGGTACCAGGTCTGTTAACAATCAGACAAACAAAGAACCCTATGAGAGAACTCTTTCTTCAGTGATCTCATGTTTGCCCAAATTGACAGTCTTATCTATAACCCATCAAGATTTAAATTATTCAAGAATGAAAATATTTGTAACTCATGTAACTATACTAAGAAAACCATAATTTTTTTACACTAAAGGGTGACGTCCATAGCTGATAGGCTAAATGTAGATTTTGCCTTGATTCATAAAGAAAGGAAGAAAGCTAATGAAGTGGCTTCAATGGTTTTAGTTGGTGATGTCAAAAATAGAGTAGCAATTTTGGTAGATGATATGGCAGATACTTGTGGTACTGTTTGTCATGCAGCAGAAAAGTAAATTAGTCCATCTCTCAATTTCTCCTAACTTTAAAGGGGATGTTTAAACAGATATGTAAATGAATATATTATGTGGTCATGTAGATATTTCTGTTATCAGCTAAAGCCCGAAATGTGGTTAGAGTTTGTTATTATAACATCAAAAGCACAAGACTGCATTACTTGGTGCCCACAATATTGTATCACATTTCAGTCAAATCATGCCGCATTTTCTTTGGGTTTATTGGAGAAATGATAGGCCTACATTAAACTACTTTGATGGTCATAGAATAATTTGGGATAATCTGTCTATTTCAGACTATTAGAGGCAGGAGCTCAGAAAGTATATTCTATTTGCACTCATGGTATATTCTCAGGGCCAGCTGTAACTCGTATCAATAATTCTTTATTAGAATCTGTTGTTGTTACTAATACTATTCCTCAAGATCAACCTATGAAACTCGCACCCAAAATTCAGGTAGGGTTACAGCAATCATAAGATTTAGCTTTGCTTGACTGAAATCTTAAAAAGATTCAGGTATATATCTCAAGCTGGGTGGAAGTAAAAATTGTGCAGTTAAAGGGATTGTAAAGGGAGTTTATAAATTTTTCATATGTATTTGGGATACTGATAGATTTAGTCAAACATTTAATGTTCTTGCAATTCCACCAAAACACCAAAGCTGCTAATGCCTATGCGATATTTGATTTGAGTGAAATTGCAAGATCCTGAAAATTCGAATGGTGCATATCAAGCAACATAAAAAGTTTAAAAGACTCTTTACAATCCCTTAATGAAGGAGATGTATATGAAATGATAACTGCAGCTGATCACTCTAAAGCACCTTGCTATTACAGGCATCAATGCGACACAGCTCTTATGGTTTATTATTTGTTATGTAACTGAAGTTGTCAATTGAACAATTTTACAATTTTGTCAGCCCATACTTTGGTGATGTAAAGCTAGTATGAGTATAATTTGCTAGGACTATGTATTACTTAGACTTGCCTTTCATGCATTTTTTTTTCAATACCTATCTTTAGGTGACCTAGATTTAGATGTTCTGTAGAAGTCTTAGAAATTTCAATATTTATTTTTAGTCTCCTTTCACTTTGCACTGTGTGTTGGTTTTTTAGTGGTCAGAAATTGAAACGGGAGAACTTTTTGTTTGGTGATAAATTTTTGGTCCCTTTCGGTTCTTGTTTTCCTCTTGCTACTGGAATATTTATTTTGATTATTGCATGCTCTCAAAACAAAATAATAATTACCCATTATAATATAAAAAATATACGAAAATAAAATCCATTAATTTACCAGCAACCAGCTTTAATCCTAAGCACAGTAGATGTTTACACTTAGTTGTCCCCCTTTCTTGTAGTCATGGTAACCACTTTGTATAATAGCTGTGCTGTCTTTCATTTCAGTGTATCGATATCTCTCCAATATTAGCTGAGGCCGTTCGAAGGACTCACAACGGCGAATCTGTCTCTTATCTATTTGCCAATGTGCCTTTGTAAATGGAAGTATAGGTGTGTTCAATCTGTGCATGTATTTATTTTTAGTTTCCCCCACACCCAGTTGTTCTTGCTTTCTTGTTCTCTTACTGCTTGTCCAAGTGTAGCCTGTCTATTTCTAGTCATACTGCAGCTATTGTTATTAAGTGTTGTTGTCTATTTGTGTCAGACTGTTGTAAATATGCATGATATAGATAATTATTCAGAAGGGTTTGGGATCCAGTTGTATTGAATTATCCATAAGATTGAATACAACTCTTGATGTATTGTTTCATTTTTTTCTGTGGTTACTTCATGCATTCTGATATATCTAAGAACATCTTTTTCTCAATCAAATAATTCATGCTAGCCTGTTTTGCCCACTGTTACAAGAGGAATTATCCCAGAATTCCTCAAATGGGTACTTTAGCTCTGACTGATCAGGGTGTTTAATTGGTTAAAAATTAGGCCTTTTCATTGGTTGAATTGAGACATATTCCCTCTTACTCTAAATGTATTTAGATTTTAACAGTGATAATAAGACAGAAAATATAACTATTTTAATCAGGTAGTAAATGAACTTAAGATGGCTTGCATTTATCTACATATCTTTTTTTTTAAGGAAAATCTCTAATGCTAACCATTTGGTGTTTTCATTTTTGAGATCACCACTTTTTAAAAAATGATAGACACAAATAATGCCAAATTACATTTAAACAATGAATTTTTCAATCAACTGGTCCTCAATCCACCTAGTGCTATAGATAGAGTGACCATCCCACTTGACAACCCTCTACATTATTTCAACACATCCAGAAATACCATGATATAATTATAGTATATTCTGTTGTGCATGTCGAGAAGAGTTCATTTAAAAATAGGGGTGATCCTGGAGCCGGCCACTCTATTTATTGCGTTAATTTCTTATTGCTTAAAACATTATATACCAACCTGTGACCCCCAAATAATTATTTTACTCGTTATTGTCTAGTTATGTTATGTTATTGTCAAATAGATCTCTGGTTATTTTTATATATTCTTTACTATCCTTGTTCCTTTTGTTTCAAATTTTCTAACTTTACATATATCTGATTTACTTATATCTTAAGGGGACAGGTGCACACCATTTTGAGGGGTTGATTTTAATCTTGAATATATGTAAATAGTCTTTAAGAAGTACTAGAAATGTACGAAAATCACGTAATTCCTTTAAAAATACTCTAAACGAGGAATATTACTCACTTTTCTATATATCACAGTATCTTAAATTGACTAGTCAACATTTTAACATTTAATCGCGAATAATTCTGGACACACATGGATTTGAGACTCAAATTTCAATGGTGAGCTTTGAACACTATTACTAATTGACTTAACTAAAAAATTCCCGTTTCTAAGATATAAGTATGATTGGTCAAAAAAATGTATCTGTTCCTTAAGGTTGAAGTAGAACATGCCTCATAATGTCGCTTACGTTTCATGTCTAGTTGGCCAAACCATAATCCAAATACAGATCTACATATTAATTTTATATGGGAATTTCCAACAAAGGCTATGTGATTTATGTGCTTGATAAAACAATGAAGTCATACCAATATAATTTCCGAAAATGTCAGACTTCTTTTTATATAGCAGTGTTTTGCTTTATGTGAGTTGTATTTTCAAATTTATCGGGGTTTAAAGGGGCATTCTGCTTTTTTGTAAAATATTTTCATTATAAAAAACGTCGTAAATTATACCTGAAAATATTTCTAAAGTATGCTATTTATATCTGTGTATCTAGTTTTCTAACAGCTTGCAAAAAGCATAACAAATTTTAAAAGGTTACGTTGCCATTTACGTAAAATTTTAGCATTCAAAATTAACAGTAAAAACTTTCTATAGATTTTGGTTTATAGTTTTCACAAATTTGAGCAAAAAAATTTTTAGACCTTCAAAAATAAGTGGAATGTCCCTTTAATGCTGAAATTGGCTAAATTAAGAAATTTGTGAGATGTTAAAATCAAACACAGTCTATTCAGATTCCGATACAAATTCTTGTGGGATCAAGATTAGAGATCTGAACAAGAAGTCAATATATAAATATATTTCAAATGTGAACATAACTGCACACCAAATATTTGCCCTGTACATGGCTGAGATATATTGGCTAATGAGAAGTATGTTAAAACAGAATTTATTAGAGTTCAGTGACAGCGACAGCCATCCTAGACTGGGGTTACAAATAGTGGCAGACTGACTCAATGGGGGGACAACTGCTGAGGCTGAATTCAAATTTTGGCTACTCTGTGGTGGTGTCATAGTCGCAAGCCTCTTATAGAGCGTCTTAGAGGGTTCTCTCAAGAAAACCATAGAAAAAATTCATTGATTTGTGCATTCTGACACATATTTTGGAGAAAAAAGGTAGACATTTAGATTTGTTGAAAATAAAGTGGGGGCACAATTGTGGATGCAAACCACTTTTCTACACCCACTGGCCATGCCACTGCTAGAGTTCTAAAGGATTGAAAAGCTGTCAACTAACCCTGACAACTATAAAGATATAGAACCAGATATGACTGTTTCTGAGTGGTTAAAGCATGAATAATACTATTTCTTACAGGTCGAGACTAAATAACATATTGCTAACCTTGCACCATTCTTATTTCAGTATCAACACTGTAGCTCATAAAGGGGGGAAGACCCAATGCATAATAAACCTATTTTCAGCTTTCTGTATTTTCCAATGAATGTTTTCACAATATATTTTTAAAACAATTTCTTTTCATTTCTTAAAGCTTCTTAGTTTATTATGAATATATTTTGAAAATAGCAGAAAAAGATGATAATGGTCCATCTGATTAAAATGCAGACTTTTTTTTTAAATTTCCTATATGATCTGAATTTATTTGAATCTGACAAAATTCTTAAGAACATTAAGTTCCTAATTTCGAAACACTTCAACCACTCAAATATTCTTCCAGTAAAAACATTTTCACTGCTTATGGGATTTTGATATTTTTGACTTGTGTTTTAAGCCCATTTTGGCAGAGCTTGATTTAAAGAAAACTCAGTTCAAAATCATGCTTGAATATCAAGAGCTGTATTTTAACCAGATCGAAAAAAAGAGAGATAAAAAGTTTCATGGAAAAGATCAGCATATTTTATGGAGTACTTGTATCATTTCAGACCATTGATATTTCTATCATTTTGGCTGAGTCCATCAGAAGAACTCATAATGGAGAATCAGTATCCTACCTGTTTGAGAACGTACCATTATAGAAGGTGAAGATTTCAAGATGGCTGACATTGGTAGTACTTGATATGTCCAAACTGAGTTAATTCTCAGTGGGTGGCTGAAAGCTTGAAACCCCTTGTATGACATTATAGGATGCGAAGTAACTTTTTATACGCCCACATGAATATGTGGTCGTATATTGTCGTCGCCCCTGTCCGTCGATCCGTCGGTCCGTCCGTCAACATTTCTTGTGAGCACTATAGAGACTACAGTTTTTATCTGATTTTGATAAAACTTGGTGTGATGCTTTAGATTGATAAGATCTCGGTCAAGTTCGAATTTGACATATTTTCGATGAACGGGTTTTGAGATACTGCCCTTGACTTAGAACGCCTTGAAATTTGTTAAAAATTGTTCGTGAGCAGGATTGAAGCTACAGTTTTCATCCGATTCTGATGAAACTTGGTGTGATCATTGGAATTGATAAGATCTCGGACAAGTTCTAACTTGACGCATTCGATGAACAGTTTTTGAGTTACTGCCCTTGACTTTGTTAAAACGCGTCAAAATTTGTTAAAAATAGTTCGTGAGCAGGATTGAAGCTACAGTTTTAAACCGATTCTAATGAAACTTGGTGTGATCATTGGAATTGATAAGATCTGGGACAAGTTCTAACTTGACGCATTTACTTTGAATGGTTTTTGAGTTATTGCCCTTGACTTTGTTAAAACGCGTCGAAATTTGTTAAAAATAGTTCGTGAGCAGGATTGAAGCTACAGTTTTCAACGGATTCTGATGAAACTTGGTGTGATCATTGGAATTGATAAGATCTCGGACAAGTTGTAACTCGATGCATTTTTGATGAACGGTTTTTGAGTTATTGCCCTTGACTTTGTAAAAACATGTCAAAATTTGTTAAAAACTTGGTGTGATCATTGGAATTGATGAGATCTCTGACAAGTTCTAACTTGACGCATTTTTGATAAACAGTTTTTGTGTTATTGCCCTTGACTTTGTTAAAACGTATTAAAATTTGTTAAAAATAGTTCGTGAGCAGTATTAAAGCTACAGTTTTCAACCGATTCTGATGAAACTTGGTGTGATCATTGGAATTGATAAGATCTCGGACAAGTTCTAACTTGACGCATTTCTGATGAACCGTTTTTGAGTTATTGCCCTTTGTTAAAACGTGTTGAAATTTGTTAAAAATAGTTTGTGAGCAGGATTGACGCTACAGTTTTCAACCGATTCTGATGAAACTCGGTGTGATCATTGGAATTGATAAGATCTCGGACAAGTTCTAACTTGACGCTTCGATGAACAGTTTTTGAGTTACTGTCCTTGACTTTGTTAAAACGCGTCAAAATTTGTAAAAAATAGTTCGTGAGCAGGATTGACACTACAGTTTTTGACCGATTCTGATGAAACTTGGTGTGATCATTGGAATTGATAAGATCTCAGACAAGTTCTAAATTGACGCATTTTCGATGAACGGTTTTCGAGTTGTTGCCCTTGACTTTGTAAAAACGCGTCAATATTTGTTAAAAATAGTTCGTGAGCAGGATTGAAGCTACAGTTTTCAACCAATTCTAATGAAACTTGGTGTGATCATTGGAATTGATAAGATCTCGGACAAGTTATCACTTGACGCATTTTCGATGAACGGTTTTTGAGTTATTGCCCTTGACTTTGTTAAAACGCGTCAATATTTGTTAAAAATAGTTCGTGAGCAGGATTGAAGCTACAGTTTTCAACCAATTCTAATGAAACTTGGTGTGATCATTGGAATTGATAAGATCTCGGACAAGTTATCACTTGACGCATTTTCGATGAACGGTTTTTGAGTTATTGCCCTTGACTTTGTTAAAATGCGTCGAAATTTGTTAAAAATAGTTTGTGAGCAGGATTGAAGCTACAGTTTTCAACGGATTCTGATGAAACTTGTTGTGATCATTGAAATTGATAAGATCTCCGACAAGTTCTTACTTGACGCATTTTTTGATGAAATGTTTTTGAGTTAATGCCATTAACTTACGAAAAACGTGTCAGAATTTGTTTGTGAGCACAATAGAAGCTACAGTTTTCAACCGATTCTGATGAAACTTGGTGTGATCATTGGTCTAACAATAATAAGACAAGTTCTAACAAGAGATATTTTTGATGAACATTTTTTGAGTTATTGACCTTGACTTTGTAAACACGCGTCAAAAGTTGTTTTTTGCCCTTGATTAGAGATGTGTGATTTAATTGTTTGTTGTATTTGGGTTATTGACATGATTTTAAAAAATTCTGTGGAATTATTCAGCATAAATAATTTCTTCAATATGAGAAAATTCGTACTTTAGTCACTAAAGACTGTTTTATTATTTCTGACAGCTGCCAGTGGGCGTATGTTATCTTGCAACGCAAGCTATCTTTGTTTTCTGTATGCGTACTTGGTTAAAATCTCACTAGTTTTTTTTATTGCTGTGCGTGCTTTTCATTCTTTGACAATTTAAACCTCATATAATTCAAGTACACTGACCTATTTACTCAGTAATTGCGATAGTATGTATACAAGGTTTTTTTGTTCTTATCCGAAGAAAAAAGAAGATTGAAAATTTGTATACTATCTGTCCTGAGGTTTTAAATCTGATGGTTGATATATGTGTTATTTCATTGGTGATCTGCGCTACAAGTGAAAATAACCAAATATGGCATACAAGAGGTTTCAATCAGCCACCCATGATGTTACGTTAGTTCTGAATTGTTTTCCTGTGTGAAAGTTGACCAAAAATACAGAATTGACTCCCTCCTTTCATATTTGACATAACAGTATGAAATCCTTTTCCAAAATGAAGTCTGAATTATGCAGTTTCTACAGTCTATCATGTACTGTTTCATAAATTCATTAGTTGTATAAGTCATATAGATATAAATATGTGGGCAGACTTAGGTGTCAGACTATCAGACGTACTGAGGGTCACCAGGACTCTGGGGCTTAAAGATAATAAAAATATTTTGAACAGATGTATTTTTAAAAAAAATAATCTCTAGGAATTCATTGAAAAATCTAAGCACTTATTTAATGGTAGTCAAACCTCATGCCAGATTATATGGTATTAGAGGCTATGCTCTTTCATCTGGAAATATGAATTTTTACATTTTTTTTTTCCTATTGAGATCTCAATTTTCATCAAGTTAGTTTGAAAACTATGCATTTAAATGGTCTTTGTATGACCAGTAGAATTTTTCAAATTAAATTTTATGTAGTTTTAATGATATAAAATTAATTGAAAGTTTGACAAGTGACCAAATACACATCACTCTGTGGAATAGTTGGTGTAAATACATTTAAAAAGTAACAAAAAAAATTATTTAGTATAATGCTTTGTCAGAGATTAAAGCTATGTTCTCACCTAAAACGCTAAGACATCATTTTCCAGAGATTGCTCTTTGAAGACCATTTTTTTCTGAATGGTAAAATTGCTCACTGGGATTAAAGGGGCAGAATTCAAAATTTTCTATTTCAAACTAGATTTTGGTTCATAGTTATCATAAATTTCAACAAAAAAACCAAAGCCCTCCAAAAAAAAGTATGCCTCTTTTAGCTCTGTCATAGACATTAGTCAGAACAGTGTTTTATCAGCTTGCATTTCTTACTAGAGTTTAGATTAGACAGCCTTATGCTATAGCAGCTTTTTTTTTTTTCAAACAACAAATGAGGAGCATGCATTGATTTACTTGATTTTTTAAAATATAATTCTATAATATTGTATTCCTTATTTCAATTTTCAATCAGACATCTTTGGTTCTTACAATTAATTCCACAAAGGTAAGCGTTTGATGGTCTCACTAATTTCAAAACCACAGACATCTGATTGAAAATTGGAATGGTGCATATTGATGCTACCCAATACATGTAGAAAAATGCTGATACTTATATGAATACAAAGTAGAGATGTTCTAACGACTTGGAGAAATACCAGTTTGTCTCACATGTCCATAATTAATTCATAATTAGCTAAATTAGAAGAGAATTAACAGCAGAATTCCAACGAGTGACTGATCAAGAAAAGCCAAAAAGTCTTTTTTGTTTATCCAGACTGTATATACATGGACATTTATGATTGGTATGGTTAATTATATGCAATAAGAACATAATGATATGATTAAGAATACATTATTAGAAACACCAATTCATCAAATAGTTTGCTTAATTTGACACTAAAAAAGGAAACCCATTTTTAATCATCATTAACTTGGTAATGTTTATAATGGAGATGTACAACAAAAGAGGGTAAATTTGTTATTATGAATTTGTTATGGGTTAGATTAGTTATAATTTTTGTAATGATTACTGATAGATATTTTTGTTTGCTGTGCTTTATAGTGGAGATCCATCATTTTCAATCTTTCATATCAAGATGACAAACCATGTTCGTTGTTCTATACTTTATACTGAGACTGTCATCAACGAGTTTATAACCAAGATTTGCATTTTCTTCAAGTTCTTTAAGGAATGGTTTGCAAATTGTTCCTCATCCATCTTGCATCAAACATCACCATTATACTAGTCCATGACAGCTACTTTTGAAGTGTAAAAGTGGGCTACTTCAAAAGGGTTCTTAAAATTGGTTAATTGTATTAAAGCCAATTTGTATACTGAAAACTACTCTAATCATATAAAATGGTGTTTTAATTAATAAACCAAGTACTTATGATCGGAACCGCAAAACGAAACCCAAAATCCTTAACAACATACTGACAAAATATTGGTAGCAGCAATATGAGAAAGTATATTAATAATAAGTGAGTTAGTGGTATCAGGTGTCTAGAAGAGTAAGCATACCCTGTTTGGCGCCACACCTGTCATAGCTGCTATTGCAATAAACTCAAACAAAGCAAACTGAAACCTATCAATGCTTCAGAATGCTTAATAACACATATTCCCTGATATTTAAAGAGCAGTAATGATTTCAATTATTTCATATAATTTCTCACCAAATATATTGAATTATTATAAACCATTCATTCTGATAAATTACACAACTGATAATCCATT